GTGGTTTATCTCCCCGGGGTGGGGTAGGTAGCTCTTGCCCTGGTGCCACCACTGGTTCAAATTTCAAGCAGCTGAATACACGCAAACCAACTGCTATTCTTATACTACAATTTATTTTTTTACTGTAAAGTTGTTGTCTTCAACTGTTTCCAGTGGCAGATTCAGAAATATGAAATAGAGGAGGCACAGTCAAGGACATTCACAGTGTTAGGGTTTAGACCATGGTTGGAATTGAGGTAAAAAAAATTATGAATATGGCAGCTCTACATAATAATTATAAAAATTGGTGAAAAGAGCGCATATTGTAGAGACCTCTACGCGCTTAGCATTATTACCCCGCTCCGCCCCCCACTCCCATTGGATCTAGCACATACTTTATGGAAGACACACTCAGGCCCCTTGGGAGAATTTCAAAATGTTGCAGCCACGGTTGTGTTTGAACCTACCAGGTACCCACTTGTACTCCTGGGTGGAGAGAGAGACAACCATGGATAAAGTGTCTTGTCCAAGAACACTAAGCGAATTCTACAGCAATAATTTCGAACCCCAACCTCAAGGTTAGGAGCCCAAGCCACAAACAATGCACCAACCCCTTTTACAAGTATATACGGTATATGTTTCAATGTAATTTTCTTTTATTTTTCATCTCATAAATCATTTTTGAAGACATTAGCGGGGGCCCCAGGCTGGCTGCCTCCTCCCCCACCCCGCCCTAAATCTGCCACTGGCTTCCAAATGAAGTCTTCAAAACATAATATTGCTTTAAACATGTTATCTTCGGTGAATAAAAAAAAATCTATCTTATTTTTATTTTTTCTATCATGTCTTTTCAAATTTAGATTTAAATTTATAGTGAACAAACTGAACAAACAAGAGAGTATAAATAGTTAAAAATCTATAAAAAGAACAACAACATTTAAAACATTATTATTATTATTATTATTATTATTATTATTATTATTATTATTACGCTAAACAAAATTGCTCAGACCATATATACATAGTATTGAATAAATTCATCTGGTTCCAATTTCATATATACATATGTCTATGTATACAGTATATCAACTAACAGCTAATTTGCATAATACTTATATGAATGCCTTATTTGTGAGGCTAATGACAGATGGCAAGATCAAGTTCATAACAGCACCTACCGTACTTTTGTAACATACCAGAATAAGTAGTTTCATTTCATTTTATTTCATTTATTATTTTCAGGAAATATAAAATACAAAAAAACAAAGACACAGCCTGAGGATAACCTAAAGCAAACTTAATTACTATCGAGAGGTTCTCCAAACATAAACAAGACAGCAACGACATATATTAAAATAGCAAGCTTAAATATAGACGAAGATAAAGTACCGTACAGAAAAACAATAAAATTTTAAAATGCAGTCAGTTTCGGGGAGCCAAAAAAGATTTTTTTAAAAATAAATAAAAAACAAATTATTTGTTAAATAAATGTTTACGAAGATGGTACTTAAAATTATGATTATTAATTAGTAGGTCTCTGTCAGTAGGTGGTAAGTTATTCTAAATGTACGGAAAATAATTAAAACACGAAAACTTATGGCAATCAGTTCTGGCATATAAGATTCTAAATCTAAAGTCATCGACATGTCTGGTATTAATTTTTTAGGAAGAAGAACGGAATTGACATTAAATTGATGATGTACACATGATAAAATAAACGACAATAAAAGATATTTCAACCGGGTGGCAATGTAAGTTGTGTTTAGCATAATTAATCTCTCTTCATAATTAAAGACATTGTCATAACCCAAACAGGCTCGAATAAAGCGTCTCTGAACCTTTTCTAAAGCATAAATGTGATTATTTTAATATAGATCATGCTGATCATTTAAAATCTCGTGTCATCATTAGAGTAAATAATGAATTCATGATGTATAATCTATTGCAAACATTTGTCAGCACAAGTTACTTTTAAAACAACAGAGTTACAATAGAAAGCCCCGCACTCACTGAGTAGTACGACCGTTCAACCATCATACAAACATTGATCCATGTGGGCGCTATACGGCGTGACGCCATCACCAGATTGTCGGCAGTGGCATAGCTATGGTCTGACCCAAAAAATCACGGTCAAGTTGTTGAAAAGCACCTAACATCACCTTATTTTGCAAGTTAGCGCCCCCTCAATGCATAGAGAATATACAGTTCTCCCTCTAATTAAGACCCACCGAATTAAAGACCACCTCAGATTAAATAACACTTTTCTGTGGCCTCGAACTAACAAATGTCATTTTTTCTTTATTATTCTAATTAGAGACCAAAGCTGCTAAAGACCATGGAAACCCCAGTCACAAAAAACGTCTTAATTTGGAAGGTGATGCTTACTGCCAGATGGATCAGATTTGAGGAAATTCTTTTATCTCATGTTCCATGTAGGGAGGCAGATGTCTGGAGAGGCTTGACCCATGTACTGGACATTCTGCTGTGGATGAGCTACAACCTGTTGCTGACCCAGGACTTGTGGTTGAACCCATGTTTGACCCACTGTCATAGGCTGACCAACAAACTGCTGCTGCATCATATGATGGCCTTGGTTAACGACCTTAACCTGCGAAAGATTCTTAATTTTTTTTAGGAGACAATACATCTTGACGATAAGATAAATAATAAAAACATAAACATACCAGGTTGACCAATATACGATACATATTGCTGCTGGCCCACAACCTGCAAGAGAAGAGATACACATATAAAGCCGGTGCAAACTGCACCAACAATCATCATCCGACACGTTTTCATAAAGAACACAACACGTTCAAAAATCGTTTTAATGAAAATCCGCCCCAATCAGCAGAGACACGTTGCCAAGATGGATTCGGCAGTCGACGGTTATATAATAGTGCAGTGCGCGCCTGGCATTAGATCAATTGTAAAATAAAACTAAAATTTTATAATAAAATATCAGCTCCCGTACCGACAAACGATGTACTTTATTTACTTACATTGTTCGTTGACCACAACAGCAAGACCCACCGCAACACATGACTAAACTGATGTAACAATGGCTGTCACAAATTGAATCACTCCAAGCAATATAGTCAGAATGTTGATGGCAAAAAATGACCCTATTGTTTCTAAAAATAGGCCTATATAACAGTTTTATAAATTAGCATATTGACATTAAAGATAAAATTTGATTGATTGATTGATGAGGTGTAGAAGCAAGCAACTCATTGTATGGTATATTCAAAACCTATATTATTATTATTATTAAGGCCTATATCTTATACTCTGTGGAACTTCTTACTTTTCATCGTTTCTTTCTTACCCTAAATCTTTTTCACTTCATACACTTTCATTCCTAACTTACTTTTTCTTCCTACGTACTTCCATAATTCTTTTCCTCCTCTCGTTCTTCCTGTCATTCTTCCACCATTCTCTTTCATTTTCTCACTCCCTGTCTTTCCTCTTCCTTATTTCACCTCAGGCCTATTTCTCCACTCATAATAATTTACTGTATTTAAAAAAATAGTTTTCATGTACCGGTACGAGCTTTTTTTCGAAACTGAAACACAGTTTAATCAAAATATACAAGATAGTCCCAGAAAGGGACTGTACCTTATGTACACACAAATTCCATTAAAGAGAATTATTATTCTTATTAAGAAGATAGCAAGTCTTTAAGGTTAGGGTGAGCCAGCTCCATCAATCAACACCTCAGATTTATGTAAGGTAGTCGCAATGATGGAATTTGAATCCAGCTACCACAATATTATAGGATATTCCATAATATTTATTCAAAATATTTTAAAGATGCTTATATTTTTTAGTTTAGTTTTTTTTCTATGTACATTAGAATATTTCTCGGGGTTTCACAACAATGTTGTTCATTTTTGTGCTGCTGAAATTTAGGCCTAGACCTACCTAGTTTAGTTTAGTGTGATTGAGCTGAGGAAAGGCTAAAAAAATAAAGAATTGACAACAATGTCCATAATTAAAATTCACAACAAAATCAGTTCAGCTCCAGGCGGTTGGGCTGACTAGAAAATTTAATAATGCCACCACCTGACCAAACTATCTTTGTACAACTGTTAGCACAGAAGGCCCTATCCTCTATGCCACTTACCCTCAGCTCATTTGACTTTGTTTTCTCTGAATTTTTACTGTAAGTAGGGCCTAGGTCTAGTACACTACACTGTGTGTAGGGCTGCCTATTAATACGGGACCTATTACTGTACAGTAGCAAAAAAAAAAAAGAAGAAGCTAAGTAGGCCTAGGATTAATCTAGCCATTCTGGTTAGGCTAGTAATGAAGACAAAGCTGACGTAATTACTAGGAATATTAATTGACGTTTCTTTAAAACTGGGGGAAGAGATTTAGAGGGTGTTCCCCCTCCCAAATGAGATTTTTTTTAAGTTGAGGAACATATGGATGGCCGGAAATGACATTCTC